TTTTGGTACCGGGGATCAAACTTGGGTCCTTGCATTTGCGAGGCAGGAGGCAGAACCACTGAGCTAAATCCCCAGCCCAAAAATGTACTATATGTGATGGAAATAAACCAAACTTGAAGTTTTTCAACCAAAAACCAAAAATAAAAAAGACAGAGATAGTCTCTATCATCACTCTTGTTAAATATAGTTTTGGAAATATTAGCCAGAACAATCAGGGAAGAGAAAGAAATAAAAAGGATTTTTATGGGAAAGGAAGAAGTCAAATTATCATTATTTGCAGGTGACATGATCTTTTACATAGAAGAAACAAAAAATTCCACCAAAAGTCTCCTAGAATTAATAACCAAGTACAGTAGCAATAATGCTAGTACAACTTACCAAAACCTGTAGGACACAATTGTTACAGAGTCAGAATACAAAGTTAACACACAAAAATCAGTGTTCCTATACATCAATAATAAACTCATGGAGAAAGAAATTAGGGAAACAATACCTTTCACAATAGCATCAAGAAAAATTAAATACAGTGGTACCTCGTCTTACAAACTTTATTTGTTTTATGATTTGGGGAAAGATGGCTGTGTTTGTGTTTGTGTGGGGATGACTGCCATGCTATCATCTAATATGGAGTTTGCAAATGGAAGTAAAATTTTGTTTAATGCTTTTGTTTCTGAACCAAATTGTGTGCAAACAGAAGCGTTCGTGAACTGAGGTACCACTCTATGTAGGAGTTCGCCTAACCAAGGAAGTGAAAGTCATCTACAACAAAAATTATAATACTCTGAAAAAAGAGATCAAAGAAAATGGAAAGATGTTCCTTGCTCCTAGTTAGGCAGAACCAATATATTCAAAATGGCCATACTTCCAAAGGTGACGTATAGATTTAATGCAATCCCAGTCAAAATATGACAGCATTCCTCACAGAACTAGAGAATGCAATCTTCAAATTCATATGAAACCAGATGAGACCTAGAACAGCAAAAGCAATCCTAGGCAACAAGAGCAAGGCAGGAGGCATCATGATCCTGTTTTTCAAGTTATACTATAAAGCTACAGTGAAAAAAGCAGCTTGGTATTGGGAAAAAAAGAAGCTTGTGGATCAGTGGAACAAAATAGAAGATGCAGAAACAAGTCCTAGTAAATTTAGCCACCTGATCTTTCACAAGGAAACAAAATCTTGCACAGGAGGAAGGAGCCTCTTTAACAAATGGTGTTGGGGAAAGTGGCTGTCTATATGCAGAAGACTGAACCCAGACATTTATCTCTTACCATGTACTAAACTAAAAATGGATAAAATATATAAATCTTAATAAGCAATATACAGGAAGATATAATAGGTAAAAATTTGCTGGGTGTTGCCAGTACACCTGTAATCCTAGCACTTGGATCTGAGGCAGGAGGATTGCTATGAGTTCAAAGCCAGCCAGACCCAAGGATGAATCAGAATAGAAAAGAACAGAAGATGCAGAAACAACTCCAAGCTACCTTATCTTTGACAAAGGGGCCAAACACCTTCACTGGAAGAAAGCCTCTTTAATAAATGGTGCTAAGAAAATTATCCACATGCCAAAGAAATATCCACATGCCAAAGATTAAATCTAGACCTGTTATCTCTCACCACACACTAAACTTAAATAAAAAAGGATCAAAGATCTAAATATTAAAACGAAACACTAAATCTGCTGGAAGATAGACTAGGCAAAACTCTGGAAGACATAAGTGTAGACAAAGACTTCATGAACAAAACTTCAATTCCACAGGAAATATTACAATCAACAACTGGGATCACATGAAATTAAAACCATGGGGGCATCATGGCAAAATTTTTCGAAAGCCACATTATGTGGAGCTTATAACACTTTCGTTCATTTTTTAGAAGTAGTTTTATGGATGAATTTTTAATTTTAATTTTATGAATTTTATTATATTAATGTATACTTAACAGGAAAATAAAATATCAAATTTTTAATATGCAATGAGTGTTTAGAATAAACATGAACATTTTCAACTTAATGAAATGCTTAATTGCTTATAAAATCTAAAAAATAACAGGAGAAATAAAATCCTATGTAAACTACAATGAAAATGTAAGCAAAAGTCTACCACAGAAATAATCTTTGGGCTGGGGATTTAGCTCAGTGGTTTTGCCGCCTGCCGTGCAAGCACAAGGACTGGAGTTCGATTCCCGGTACCAAAAAAAAAAAAAAGAAATAATCTTCGATTCAGTTATCACACCCAAGGCAGTCTTTACAAATGACAACTGCATGTTCCATACAAAAGTCTTGATTACACTGACAGCAAGTATGCTTAGTTTTCTTTTCTTATTTGACAGGACATCCTTATCACCTCCCTTTCTTTCTCCTTTGTCAGGAGTTTCTTATTATATTATACAATGTACACTTAGCAGGAAAATAAAATAGCAATAAAATAAAATATCAAATATGTAATGAGTGTTTAGAATACACATCAACATTTTCAATGTCAACTCTTTACTTGCTTACAGAACCTAAAAAACAACAGGAGAAATAAAATCCTATGTGAACTACAATGAAAATACAAACAAAAGTCTATCACAGAAATAATCTTTGCTTCAGGTATCACACCCAAGGCAGTCTTCACAGATGACAACTGCACATGCCATACACAAGTATCACTTACACGGATTGCACACATTTTTTTTTTCCTGTCCTTTTTATTTTTTAGGGCACAGTTGACATCTTTTTGGTTTTCCTATTGTCTAGAGGTCTTTGTGACTTTGCATCTGCCTGTTCATCTGTCAGTTCACCAGTCTACTCCAGAATTTTTTGGTCTAGTTCCTTGGGCAGAAGCATTTTGTTCTGCCTGTCTTGCAAGTGCAAGGTCCTGAGTTCAATCCCCAGTACCGCAAAAAAAAAAAAAAGAAAAGAAAAAAAGAAAGAAAGAAGAATTTTGTTCTTCCTCTGTTGTAATTGATCTTTAGTTTTAGTTCTGGTCTCAATCCTCTAAGAAAATGTCTCCATAGTATTTTGTATTTATTATTTTTAATAAATTATGAAATTATTTATGCTAGACATGTTTAGGATCAAGTAAAACACAATCATTGGCCACAATGATTCAAATGTTTCAAATGACATCATAGTTGCTGCATAACTTATCAACAACATGTACTCTGCCTTTGGTTTTATTGTAAAAAACTATCATCTCTGACTTCGTGTCAAGGTATCTCTGTCAATCATGCCATCATGGTGTAATGGTGACATCAGCAGTACTACTTTGTTTTACTTTGCCAATGTTATATCTCTCTGAAATCCAAAGATTGGACTATATAATTCTCTATTTCAAACTTCCAACATTTCATTGGGAATTTCTACTTTGTCCTTACATATAGTTCCTACATTGATCAACTGGTGCTCTCTTAGCAAATGTGACATTAATGGGTAACTGGTAAACCAATTGTAGAATGTCACATTCCGATTAGTTTGGGAGTAGGAGCAACAAGTCTGTTTACAACATCATTTGGTTTATTATTGCACAAATAAAGATATGATGGCTGAGTCCCAGGATACATTTCTAAATCAAAAGTATAATATGTCTTTGCATCTATCAGGACATAGTTTTTATATTTTGAAGGCTTATTTGGCAAATACTGCCTAAAGCTATAGTGACCAGAAAATGCTGCAAGCTTTTCATCAATGTCATGTATTCAGATAGTTGTAAATTTCTTGACAGTTTGACACAAAGCTCTCAAATAATGAGCATATAGCAGCCAAACTATTGATTGTTTTTCTTTCTTGGTGGGTGGTTTTGTCATCAAACTGCAGGC